ATAAAAAAATCAGTAACCTATTACATAACATTTCAAACATTCCTATATTGTATGTAAACTAGAATCCTCGGTGTAATAAATTGTTATTTGAGGGTAAGTTATTATTGTTGTTAATATAACTATGGAGAAAATAAATGAGATGTCAACTGACAATCATCTAGATAAGCGCCAGTTGGATTTATTCCCAAAATGCTATGCATGAACCGTCAGCTAGAATGTTATGTCCATATAATCAATAGTGAAACAAAACCAGTCAATATATACTCTAACCTCACTAGAGTGTTCGTCAAAACACAGTGCTCATCAGTACTATTTAAATTAGCAGCATTAAGGACAAGTGAATCTTACCACTCCTGGAGGACTGAAACAAGACAGTGAAGATAAGTCATCACTTTCACCCTTAGAACACCAATATAGTGCTTCAAGGTTCACCCATCGGATTCTAACCATGCATTTTGTTGGTGATATTTTCACTTACTTTACACTGGACAAACCCGTTTCATTTTCTAATAACGTTGAAGTGATACATGACTTCCATCAAAGTCTGTGTGTCAGTGACATAACAGAGAGGTCTGATTTAACTTCAGGACCGATGTAGTGCATGGTTCCCCCCTCTAACTGCAAAAGAAATCAGTGTGCACGCAATTTGGTAAGTTTATTACAAGTATGGCAATGTATAAGTTTTTTAAACTCATTATGTCTCATAGATATTTGACTGCACTATATTCTGGTATGCCTTTATATGTTTGTACATTTTTTTGCAGAAAAATTTAAAGTCATGTCGCATGGCATATACATGTATATATACCGTATTTATTTCGCACGTTTCGCTTACTCACGCAGATGAAAGTGTATTTCAATTTGCATCTATATTTTCACTTTTTAATATCTAGGATGAGAGAGAGAGAGAGAGAGAGAGAGAGAGAGAGAGAGAGGAATAGAATTTTTCATCGTACATCCATAACCATAATAGTGTATCACATAGCTCTTCATAGTAAGGAAAGACAACCAGATGCTGCCGGACGAAATAAGCTATCAAAAGTGTTTACCAAAGGCATGCTCGTTGGGTTCAAACTTGCGGCCGATCATATTTTAGGGTCATTACGATACTTCTAAGGGGTGGGAGTGAGCTATAGCAGTTAATAATTCCGTAAAATGAATAGTTCTATAAGTCTTCCATATTGGTGGTGATCTCATTGGTTTAACTCGACGCACTCCGGAGGAAAGGGCTGGGTAACACATACCCTCGGTATCGCGGTCGGGTACTCCGTGTCACGCATCTCCGTAGCAACCAGATAAAACACTCCACAGCATGTCAACAACTTTCCAACTATATGTCATTGAGCTCCTTCATTTTTGAATTCAGGTTTGGTTGAATCTAGGATCTTTCTACTATTGTAGTGTTACGGGTTGAAGCAATGTGAAACTCCAAACATTGCTGGCATCTTTACGTTCCTGTTATCTCTCCCAAAGTATTTAGCATTCATCACGCTCGGCACTTAACTCCACCCGTAGCTCTTTTAGACTTACTGCTCGTCCCAGGCACAACCAAAGAAGGAGGGTTGGGCATGATGTTTGCAACCCCATGACGTAGAAGAAAAATTTTGCTTAAAAAACCAATCAGATTAACCAAGCTAACCTCTATCCTGAGAGGTAAAGGAAGAACTATGACGCCTTAAGATGGAAGCCAAAATTCTTTGAAAGTCACGAGGCCGATGCCTCTTCTAACAACCAGATTAACAATTTTTATAGACACATGGAACTTCCAGACAATGTAAAAGACCGGGAGGACAGGTCAAATAACAACGTAAATAGGGAGATACAACTTGACGGCACTTGAAATCGGCGAGACCAATTGGACCGAATATGGACAGCAAAGGCTGTATGCTGCTGTTCTCCGGTCACGAAGAGAAAAATGTTCCATACACGAAGGGAGTTACTCTGATGCTGTCTAAACAAGCACGAAATGCACTTAAAGGGTGGGAATGTCATTCAACAAACCAGTTGTAGGCGTCACAATATTCGCACACAAACGCATACAAATTGATGAAGGAGTCTCACTGGACCACACTGCAGGAACCAGATCGATCATGTATGCAACACTAAAACATTCAGAAGGACGGTGGAAGATGTGAGAATCAGGAGAGGAGCTGACAGCTTCAGATAACCACCTGTTGTTGTCAGGGTGAAACGGAAGCTAAAGAAACACCAGAAAACTGAAGAAACAGCATTACAAAGGTTCGATAAAGCCTAACAAACTCAACGAATTCAAGATAACTCTCAACAACAGGTTCCAAGCCTTACAGGATCTACTGAAAGAAGGAACTAGCAAAGAGGACAACTGGAAAGATATCAAAGAAGCATTAACTTCAACGTGTCAGGTTGTTCGGGGCCCCAAGAAGCACCACCATAAGGAATGGATCTTTATGGAATCTCTGAACAAGATGAAAGAAAGAAAGAACAAGAAGGCAGCAATTAACAACAGCCGAACACGAGCAGATAAATTCCAAGCACAAGCTGAGTACATAGAAGCAAACAAGCAAGTTTGGAAGCGCATTAAATCTTACAAGGTGAAATACGTGAAAGATCTAACAAAGACAGCTGAAGAAGCTTCAAGAGAAGGAAATATCAGACAATTATATGAAACAACGAAGAAAGTGATAGGAAAATATAGTAAACCAGAGAGATCGGTCAAGGAAGAGGAAGGGAAGCTAATCACTGAGAGTCAAGAACAGAGGGGCATATGGGAAGTAACTACAAACATGCTCCACATTCTGTTCGGGAAGATTTGTGAGGAAGAGCGAGTACCGACAGGCTGAAAGAAGAAAACCGCATCAAGATACAAAAGAAAGGAGATCTGAGCAAATGTGAGAACTATAGATGCTTCACACTACTGTCAGTACAAGGAAAGGTTTTCAACAGGGTGTCGTTGAACCGGTTGAAAGATTCAGTAGATGCCTAGTTTGAGGTTCAACGGGCTAGATTTCGCAAGGGTCGGTCCTGAACAGACCAGTTCGTGACGATGCGGACCATCGTTGAACAATCAATCGAATAGAGTCGGTCATTATACGTTAGCTTCCCTGATTATGAGAAAGTATTTGACAGTGTGGATAGGAGAACATTACGGAAACTTCTTAGAGACTGTGGTGTACCTGAAAAAATCGCCAATATTATCCGGAATTCATATGACGGATTACACTTCTCTTTCCTGTGGTGGTGAACTAGATTATAAAGACCTCCACATCTGAGGAGAAGTACAGTGTAGCAGCAGCCCTTGGATCAGTGAGCTTCAACATACGCAAAGGGAAAAGCAAGATTCTTAAATACAACACGGAGAACACCAATACAATCATTATTCATGGAGAAACTCCGGAAGAGGTAGAATCTTTCATGTACCTGGAAAACATCACCAATGAAAGTGGAGGATCTGATACAGACGTAAAGGCGAGGATTGGCAAAGCAAGGACATTTCTAAAACTGAAGAACATATGGAATCTTCAATACGAACGTCATGACAATTCTACTATACAGGGCTGAAACGTGGAGAACTACTACAACCATCATCAAGAAGGTTCCAGTATTTATAAATAGTTGTCAACGCAAGATACTTAACATCTATTGACTGGATACCATCCAAAACAGCCTTCTGAGGTAAAGAACAAACCAGGTTCGGTCTGAAGAGGAAATCAGGAAAAGACATTGGAAGTGGATATGACATACATTCGGGAAATCATCAAACTGCATTACGAGACAGGTGCTAACTAGGAATCCTGAAGGGAAACGGAAAAGAGGTAGGCCAAAGTACATACTAAATAGAGAAGTGGAAGCAGAAATGAAAAGGATCAACGGGAACTGGAAAGAACTGTAAATGATTGCCCAGGACAGGGTCGGATGGAGAATGCTGGTTGGAGGACTATGCTCCTCGACGAGAGGTAACGGGCGTTAGTAAGATAGCAAACAACAGTTCGCACTTAAGCCTTCTTCCTTTCAGTTAATGTTTGTTTCTCCGCTTCAGTTCACCACAAATCACATCTAGTTCCTGTGATCCATGCATAGTCACCTCAATGGCGGTTTCATACTAGGGACAGTGATAAGCTTGAGGTTTACCTACTAATTAAACATATTTTGTTTGTTCTGTAGATCGCTAAGGTAGATGATCTGTGTAGATCATAGAGGCCCTGCTTAGGTTGGACGTCAATGTCACACATCACCTAATGTGGTCTATCCTTCTATTGTATTCAGGTACGATGACTCCTTCGATGACCGTACAACACAAACAATGTAATTGCAAAAATATATTGGTAGGAGTGGGTACATGAAACAGAGAGCCACCACTGCCACATGGGTCGATCCATGATGCGCAAGTAATTAATGAGAGTTAGCCATCTATTGCCTTAATGAGGATCGACAAACTGTTTGTTATTCAGTGACCTGACTTATGGATAATCTGGGTAAACCCAGTGACAATTCACTGCTACTACAGCTTTCTTACAAATGACATAGCTTTATCGATCAATTTAACTCAGAATTAGCACGAATAATATAACCAATAATCGGAAATCGGAGGCATACTACAGAAAAGTTAATTTTTTAGAATATGTTTCAGGGAATAGTGGTATAAGGAATTTCTCGGTTCTTTTGGATAAAACTCGATGCCATGAAGGAAATATTTGTATCTGATTGACTGATATCTATTCTCTCTATGATATACTTAGTTACCCGCCTGGAAGCAATGGAAATCGCTGCTATGTAACACGGAGTGACGATAAGCCAAAGCTCTTTTTGTTCTATCGACAACCGTCTAAGCCATTTGTTTGGTTCATACTACAATAAAAATGTGATAGGAATCGGTAGAATGTTGCTGAAGTAGTTTAACAAAGGCATTTTATGTCTACTTTCAAGAATTTGAAGAGCGATTATGATGTGTTGTTTGGATATATCAGTTAGTTAATGAGTGCATGTAACCTTTGTGAGAATCGTTTCAATTGCATGTTTTCGAGATGAGTTCTCTTATTGACTATGTTTGTCGATACAGTGGTAGAGTAGGTTAGATTTTTGAAGATTACAGATGTTTTAGAATGAGTGGGTATATCAATGGAATCAATATATACCTTTGATTCCGGATTGTGGGAGCGAAATTCTATTCCCCTTTCTCCTTGTTATTTTCACACTTTTGGGACTATTGCCTTATACTGTTATTCTAATAGCTTCAAAGTCAAGTCACAGCCGTTTGATTTCGTGCTTGTATTTGAGCAAATCGGTAAGGAAGTTTGGCTTAATTTCCTAACTTTTCTTAGGGTCTCGTTTGCATTTCTTTTCTTCTTAATGCCGTTTGGATCCTGTATGTCGTTTTGGAAATGCGAGAATTCGGTTTATATTCGTTTGTTCGACCTGGATTAATATCACTTTCTCTCGTGAGTGTATCAACTAGTTTTATTATGTGGTGCAAAATATTATGTTCAGTTAATGCACTTGATCATAATTCTTTTTAACCGTAATTTTGCATGAACATGAATGGGTGGTATTTTTTCGTGCATCATCATTAATGTAATAAAGTGTCAACACAGAGTTTGTCCGTATTTACACCGAAACAATTTCATTTTATCGAAAGCAGTTTTAATCAGTTGCTTATTGTCACTGAAAAAATGTAATTTTATTTCTCTTGTTACATACCATATTGTGTTTCATGTATAACTGGGATGTAGGACAAAGAAAGTTTCCGATTACTTGCTGCTTACCTCTCAAAGTTTATTCGTCGGGGCTTTAAGATAAATAAATACTTCACCACAAATAGATATGATACTAGTTATGTCTATGGTTTCTTGATGTCATTTGTAAGATAGAAAGGTTAGATAGACTATTTCATTTTATCCCGTTTCTCGAAGTTGATTTCTTGCATAAATCCCTAAAAACATCATTGTCGTTGTCTATCTAATTCTAACGACTGGTTAAGCAAACACCAATATATCAGACTTCTGGGCACTGAGGGAGCTTCAATCCATATGATGATCTTTAATATTAATATTGTTGATTTGTGAAGCTATTTCACCAACAATCTTTAATTCTATTCTTGAAACGTAACCTTTAAGAACAATTTTCAGGTTAATTGATTTCCTCAGAATCAGCAGCTTTAATTAACTAATCAGAATGCCTCATCAACTTCTAGGTATTTCCTACAATAGGACTTTCTAATCACATAAATCACTTGAGAGTTAAGTATAAAAGTAAGAATTTGTGTCAAGCAGAATTTTAGTTAGTGATTGTTTAATATGATAGGATATTAAAGGGCCATATTCTCAAGTTTTTAAGTAATAGGTGAGAATTAACTCATGCTCTCTATGAGAAACTAACTAGTATTATAGAATAATTTATATATGATTGCTGATTAACGACAACACATTCATTCATAACGAGGAAGCTACTAGAAGTATAATTTTTAGAATGAAGATACAGCATATTTGTCGTAAAAGCGGTTTTAAATGACCGAAATTTGCATAAGTATTAAGCAGGATGTTTACGAATTACGAAAAGACCTATATTTAATAAAAATTTATGATCAGCCTGTATAAATCGTAAATCATCATCAAAAACGCGGAGAACTACCCAAGTTTACCATGTAATTAGTGAATTCCTGAAAATGAGTAATTATCCTAACACATAGATACTTATTCTGTTAGCTTTTGAAGATGAAGTAAACATCAAGCCAACTTGAACCTACGTAAAGAAATGCAAATCCGTGAACAGACTGCATAACTTTGAAAGCTGTCAGCAGGGTTTAATTGTTTTAAATTACTTTCTGAGTGGATAACAATCAAAATCTTCGTAAACGTTTAGAAGTGGGCATCATAATTTTCTCCAATTAATTGTGAAACGATCCTTTGATAAACAAGTATTCGTGAAATTATATTGTGAGATTTTTTATTACTGATATATGAACGTTTCCTTACTATCTTTGGGCTAAAATACTGGATGAATATAAGCTGTACACGTTTATCAATCTTCTAAAGTCTGCCAAAATGTGGAGCACCAGTCTCGATGGTATGGTTGCTGATCTTTATAAGATAAAGGAGGAGGGTTTGGCATGGGGTTAGCAACCCCATCCCGTAGAAAACTAACTCGCTAAAAAACGCTAATTACAAAGCAAACATTTATTTACATTCCTTTGTATTAGAATGATTGAGATTACAACTAAATGAAGTAAAACATATGGAATCTAGTGTAAGACCTTATTAATGGATACATCAATTAGAAAAGTGATAATAAAGTAATTATGATTTTAAGAATGATCTTGTTTCAAGTAAGGTTAAATCAGCAAGTTGTGTTTTCAAGAATAATAATACACCATGTGGCATATTATCCAGATGCCAACATGTGAAAAATTGTATTGCTGGTAAGGTATGCACTCAGTTTGTGAGAAATAACCTATTTCTATGGCGTCTCTTTATTTACTAACACTACAACTTCTATACTAAGCACAATGGAATTACGTAATGTTATTTACTTTCTGTCGGATAGGATTTAATTAAGTCTAGCAGAATAACTGTATTCAAGACTAAACAATTAATGCTTATTAGAAAAAAAATACGGACAGCGAATTTATAACTCAAAACTCAGTTCCGAAAAGATAGAATGTTAGTGATCAAATCATTGACCACATTGGTAAAAGTGTTTGCCATTAATTTCTACTTTGAACTTTACCTTTTTAAAATTCTCTTGGTGTTCTTCCAAATTCTAATCTTCTGAATTCATGTCCCCTTTTCTTCTCTTTAAAAATTTATTTCGATGGATTGTACTTCAAATCAGATACACTTAATCCATAATTTTTGAAATAACAGTTTGTGTAAATGGATTTTAAAAATCTAGTTTGCTGTGCTTGATGCAGTACTCATTACATTCGTAACATATTGTTACATAATATTCAGCTTGTAAAAAATGTTTTTAAACATGTACTTGGAGTTTAACAGTGGTCTTGAGTGTTGTTAGACGTATGAGGGTGGTTATCTCCTGGAGGTACCTGAAAAGGAAATTGGATTAGAGGTGGTCTTAGTGACCCGAGAACGTAACCACAGTACCCAAGGGACAACTGCTTGAGGTCAGCCACACACGACCTTTTTATGAGTAATTTTTGTGTTAGCTCCGTACTTGTTGAGACCATACCGCCGGAGACGGATATCTGTGGGATAATGCAAGGTGTGCATTTATAGGGTCGACCTTTTCTAACCCCACCCCTCCTTGTGGGAAGGCAGCATCTCTGCAGATGCTGGTTGTCTGAAGGAAACACCTTACTGCTGTCACACCTATGTACAGTCAGCAGTACGACCTCGCCTTCGGACCTTGGGTTTATTGCTTTTAGTCTTACCGCTCTTCAACCGACCTGTCTGACATGGTAGAACCTTGAGGAACAGTTATTCCAGTCAGTATAGCTCGGTTGCTTCATCACGATAGGCAAGCCCGACCACTTCATCAAGGTAGCAATCTTTCTTTCATATATTACCACCTCTGAATTAACTACTTTTATGAATCCGGTGTTCATCTTGTGTTAATAAGGTATGGCAACTTTGACTGAGTGCATATATGTACCTGGTCCTACGTTAATACTAATATAGTGACTAGATAGTAGTTGGTTCAGAACCAAACAAAATGATGCAGATAGATTTAATGTTTTTCTTGTGATACTCAGTAAATTTTCTTATTCTTCTTAAATGATATTTTCTATTGATACTTTTAAGTTTCTGTTTGATCATAGTTGGTAAACAAGATTATTGTATTTTGGCTAAGTGATTGTTATGATATCTATGTCTGATTAAACTGTTGATCTTAAACTAGGAATTAAATAACTACTTATCATTAATTTCCATAGGTTCAAAGCTTGACATAACTTCGTGACTAAAACATTAACTTCAGTTTATATTTATTGGAAGATAGTCGCGCAATTACGTGAATTTGTTGAGTTTAGACATTAACACCGTTGGATGCCGGCCTGATCAGTGGTCTAATAGGTTGAGCGTTCATAAAAAGAAATAAAATTGAAAGGAAGGAGAAAAACGAGTTGACAGACAATACAACTTTTATCAATTTCAGTCCAGTAAAAAAAAAAAAACAATGAATAGATAAGGGTTTAACACTGTTGGATGCCGGACAGCTCAGTGGTCTAACAGGTAGAGCGTCCGCACGTGAGATTAAATTAGCTGACGAATTGGAGTTTATCAACTAGTTATACTTCTCTTATCTGGCTAACTTGATAATTGTATAGTGTTAACCTATACTTTAACATCCATCTTTCATATTTTTAATTCATGTTGAACCCAGATTATTACTTGATTTCATGTGATAGAATAATTTATAAATTCTAAAAATCATTACTAGGAACTTTTATAAGCGTAATAGACATTAAAACTTAGAAATAAACAAGAATTGGGATACTTTTAGTAGGTAACATTCAAGTGAAAAACTTGATTATTTTCGAACTTGAACTCAAAAGTTTTATAAAGCGATAATTATATTGACCATTAATGTATTTTACTGAAATTTAAGCAATTACACTTTCTAGTATTTCATATGATAAGATGTCAACTATTTAAAACTTTGAATTGGTTTAATTTACATTTATTTTCATTGAAAACATATTTTAGGTATCATTTATCATTGTTATGCATTATGAACGCAAACGAAATACACCAAACTCTGGTGTAAGCTTTTACTATTTATTGTTGTTAAATTTTGTTTGGATATGCTGTTGCTGGAATCACACTGTTCACTACATAAAGGTTAGAAATATATGATATCTATTTTAATTACTGTCTTTTTATTTATTTATTCCGTTAGTTTATAGTATTTGATGGTTTGCTCAACTGGTTAGCAGCTTCATGCATGAATTTTTACACATACAGGTCGTTTTAACTTATTTTAAATTTGTAAACTTGTGTTCAATGTATGATTCTAATCTGAGTGTGTAGTATGTATATGAGAATAGTCTGTTGATAGTGTATATGAATGTTAAGGTTGTTTAAAAATTCTCTACTGATTTTATGAGTTCACATGTTCAATCTTTGGTATTCGTCATACGTTAAGCATCTAAATCTTGCGTTAAGTACAGCTCGCTGATCAAGTACACGTTTGTTCATTCTCATTTAATCCATACTTGTGTGTAACGATTAAAAACAGTACCCAGTTACTCAAACCAGAGTAATCTGAGCGAGTTTGAAGCATGAAATTTAGCAGCAGACAATCAAGTCTATCAATCAAAATGGTCTACTTAATTGATTTTATCAATAAGTTTTGTTCTACTCTCTTATTTCATTTTAACACATAGATATTGGTACAATGAGACACCAAATACATATGCGCCACACATCTCAATTGATATGTGTGAGGGCTGTGATATTGCCTGGGTGTACAAACCGAAGCAGGTGGTTTTCTTAGGGAGCCACTTCCCGAGCCTTCGACCTGAAAGTCGGATCCACAAGGTAGTGGAGCATCGTACGAAGATGCAGTCCCATAAAAGCCGGTGACCAACACTAAGTTCATACGCCATTTGTTCCTTCAGGATACTTGAGCCCGTGTGCACCATTGTTTTGGAATCAGGGTTTTTCAACTCCCCTAGGTGGACCCTCCATGTCCACCAACCCGGTTAAAGCGCCGGACATTTGCTTTTCGTCCTCTCAATTTCGTAAATAACACCCCGGACACGAGAAGGCAGTGAGTAGGACTTCCCTGACAGAGGGTCTTTATGCGCGTGGCCGTGTTAGAGCGTTTGGAGAGTGAGAGCGACTCTCCCCACTCTGAGCCGTACCAGGAAATTTGGGGGCCTACTCTCTTCCGATTTGGAATTCTTATAATCAAAGAAGATTATACGAAATGAAGTATTTGTTTACTCTTTTGGTACATCCCAGAACTTAATAAAATAGATCATCATTACTATTCTTGATTATACAAAGTGTTTAAACGAATCAGCGTTTGGTTCAGCAACTCTTGAATACACTTATTTCTTAATTGTATAGGCATTCTTGGTAGGACACACTATAGCACCGAACCAGTCACATTGAACATGTTCACTTTTAGATTTTTGCGCGTAATTAAAAACATGATGATGTTTAACTTCAATCTTATGTAGAACTTCGTGAAATTTATCCGTATTCAGTTCTTAGAACGCTTAAAATTAGTAAACATGCGCCTGTTGTTCAGCTGTACAGTCAACCTAAAATGGTATGAAAGCTCAGTCGCAAGAATTGTTTTTTTACTTCTGATGCAGATTGTATATTACACGTTGAGTGGATTTCATATGATTCTGAGAATATGCAAGGATATTTGTAATTCTTTGAGATTTCAGTGGCTCGGGATCTGACTCCAGTTAGATCGTACGAATGTTATTGAAATAGATATATCGTCAATCCTCGTATATAATTATCAACTTAGATCGTGTTAGTGAATAACAGAATTAAATGTCTTGAAAATACGAGAATGGATTTCGAATGGGTATATTTTTTACAATCGTTGATCGGAATCGACAATCAGAAAGACGTAGGGAATGGAGCGAAGCAGGAATGACGTGTGGTTGAGGTGGCAGATGAGTCAACTCGATTTAATCAAGCGTTAATCAATATTTATAGTCACACAAAAATAAGCTACAGAAATGTGATGAGTAGGATAAGAAGTACACATACATACTCTCATATAAAAACAGTCAGGGTTGATAAGTGAATATTTAACAAGGTCAAAACGTGACTCAAGAAGAATGGATAAACTGGACTATCCAGAAGCTAGAATAAGTTATATGGGATTTTTGTAAGCAATGATGGATAGTGGCTAGCAGTGGAATCCAGGACACGCGTCTCGTTCTATCTGGGACTCGTCAGCTGGATGTACCTGGATGAGTTGATGCTTACTCTGGGACTCGAACCCAGTACCATTCGCTTCAAACGCCATCGCGTTATCCACCCAGCTATTGAGTCCTGATAGTCACTTACTTGTGCAATGGGGTGAATTTAAACTCACTTGGTATTGTTTGGCTTGTATCTTCCCATTGAGGTTTAAGACTGCAATTGATCAGTCTGTTATTGGCATATGTGTATACTGTGTGTATGCCTCGATATTGCGTTAATTCACAAACGTTTTGTAAACAATGATGGATAGTGGCTAGCAGTGGAATGCAGTTTGACGCGCGTTTCGTCCTGCCAATAACAGACTGATCAATTGCAGTCTTAAACTTCAATGGGAAGATACAAGCCAAACAATACCAAGTGAATTGTTGTGTTTTCTTTTTGGAGATTTTCATTAAATTGATCAATGACAGGTTATAAGCATTCTATGATAAGGTGTAAGTACGCTCAATAGACAGACTCTTAGTTGATTAAATGTAACGTAAAGTAAGAAAACTTATGATAATAAATCCATGCCTGAGAAATCAATGTCCTACAAGTTTAAACAAATAGCCATGTTTCAAACGAAACAGTTTTGAATGGACTGATCACTTCATACCATTGGTAGATGCATTTTCGAATCCCATGAAGAACACTAACCGCTTCATAATTGTTTATATGTCTAGATAATGAATGATAATGAACATGAAATCCAGTTTCATACAAAAATTCCACTTTTATTTTTAAAGGCTACTAATAAGTTCTAATTAAGAAATAGTAGAATAAAAAAAATGTTATGACGTAGATAACTGATCATATAAATATTATAGAATTTGTCAAACATGAAATAGAACTAATCACATTTATATTGCTAACAAATAACTTAGTAGAAGTATACATACAAAAATCGGATCCAAATTTGTCCCTATCACCTTTTTAATGTTATCTATACACAAATGATCATGGATAATGATGTGCAAATTTGTGAAAGTACTTGATGTATATATATCTATATGTGAACATACATGCAATCACACTTTAATATTTATACGACGACATACTTCTTCAATCTACAGATTATTAGTGAATTAAGTAGTAAAAGTTAGTTTGTTTCACGAAATAACATTTCCTATACGATCATTGAAAACTAGGAAAAAGTTAACAGCTGTTTTATCCTAGTACATATGTTTTTAATAGTACACATCTACAGTCCTATCAAGAATCGAACCCATGACCTTCAGGTTGCGTTCAAAGTGTTGTTAACTTTAAGTTATTGAGTTTGTAGCGGTAAATAAATCCCCAAAATAAATAGCTCTGTAAGTTTTCGACATTGAATGCTGACCACATTAGTTTTAATGGACTCACCTAACTGAAGGAGCTCGGTCATGCATCCGCACCAGATCACGAATGGGAACGCCGTGCTCAACAACCCCTGCAATCTCTAGCCAGATTAGATCAGACGATTCTCGATATATTGATAGCCTACCAAATATACCTTCGAACCTCCTCGCTTCTGTCTTTTGATTTCACTTGATGGGTACGATTCATATTAGGTGTTACTGGTTAAGGCGTTGTCAAACTCCGAATACTTGAAATTCATTTCGTTGTGAAGTAAATCAGATCAAACCAGCTCAGTCAATCCTAATGACTGGCTACAAGGTGAATCTTCGCAGTTCTAATGAAAATCACTAGCTAGTAGTGATGAAATAAGTTGGTACAAGGTAGATTTGTACATTATAGATAATTATGATAATATAGTCTTCATTTTTGGTAAATTTACCACGTAAAGTAATGTTAGTTCATGTTTAACTGCAACATTTTTTATCATTAGTAGTTTTAAATAAAACTAAATGTTTATCACATCGGTATTGTACACGTATTTTCTAGTGAATCAAACTAGTGGGACTAGATCAACTTGAAAGAATAGATAAACATTAAATTGATTACTTATCAATGCAAATATTTCGTTCCTACAGACAGTCAATTTTGACTCAATAATAACTTCTCTAACTAATGATACTGGTTGATGAGGGTCCGCATATCACGGGAAGCACTCAACGTTGCAAATACACCATGTTGATAAGTTTAAAGTAGCAGGAGATAGTACAGGGTAATACCAACCGGCTGCAATCATAGATATCTTTCAGTGTATGTATCATACATACATATATATTCATTAATATAACTGTTTACCAATATATTTTCTAACCATATATATATATATGTAATTTCGAATCGTTTCTCATCTTTTTCAGCATTTACAGAATTCTACGATGTTGTTCACAACAATCAATAATACCTCTGTTATTCTTAACAATAATAATACTACTACTACTATTACACTTCCTTTTCATTCAACTATACGAAACAAAGAGAATTTTCTTAACATTTTAGATTATATCAATTTACTTATCTCTTTCATTATTTTCATATTGAACTGTAATTCAGAACGTCGTCAATGTTTAAACACTAATAGAATTATCAATATAACAAAAAAGAATCCAAATATAATTACTGATAATGTTAATAATAATAATAATAATAGTACCATCAATCCAAATGATGATCAAGATCTTTCAGAGCATTTAACTAATCAAATGGAAGTGAATTACAGTGATGAAAATGTAGAAATACAAAATTTACAAGTAAGTAAATACACTTTAATCTAGTGTGTGTGTGTGTGTACATTTACAGTCGTTTATTATTTAGTTATTTAAACATATAAACATTGGTACAAGGAGGCACCAAACAGATATGCGTCACATAAATCATTCAATTGGTGTTAGGGCTGGGATACTGCTCGGGTGCCCAAACCGGAATAGGCGGTTTTATCAGGGGGCCACTACCAGAGTCTTTGACGTAAAGATCTAATTCACAAGGCCGTGGAGCAACGTCCCATGGTAGCCGGTGACCAACGATTGATTTATACACCATTTGTTGTTTCAGGTTCCTGGAGCCCATGTGTATCATTGGTTTGGAATGAGGGTTTTCCAACTTCCCTATGTGAATCCTCCGTATAAACCAACCCCGTTAAATCACCGGACATTCGCTTTTTGTCTTCTCAATTTCGTAAACAACAGTTATGTCACGAGAAGACAGTGAGTCGGACTTCCCTGTGAATGGCTGTATACGTGTGGCGATGTGAGAGCATTTGGAGAGGAAGAGTTAACTCCCCCCATTCTCGGCCGTATTAGGACATTTGAGGGTATATTGTTCATGATGATGACTGTGTTCTGACTTAAATAGCTCCCTTATAATAATACAGTGTATGTATTTAAAATATCTCGAAAAAAGTTTATTCACTGTATTTTTAATCTTGTCTAAGCTTATAAGCGTGTCACGCCTTCAGTATTAATGAAAATATCCGATTATATTTTAACCTTTATTTTAAAAACTCTCTGACATAATTCGTAATTGAAAGTTATTTACTGATCTATCTGAGGATGTTAAATTAAATTAAGCCATTTCCATAACTTAAAAACAGACTAATAGCTAATGAAATACAAATGGTACTGATCCATGGCTTACTGATCATTTAGTCTAAATGTCTTGTAGGTTTAACCATGGGAAGCTATACGCACTATTAAAAGTTCCCTTGTCGCTATTCATTAATTTCCAACTATTGAAAATAGTGAAAGTTATTTATCTAATGTAAGTTTATGATACAAACTGGATATATTGAACGATCTCTGTGTGTGTGTGTGCTCAGAACAGTTTCAGTTTGAGAAGGACAGGAGGCTCGATGGCCTATGTTAGTCCTGGCAATGGTGGTCCCTCAGTTGATCCAACTTTCTTTTGAAAGAGTCGACGGATGGAGCCTCAACCACGTGCTGAGGTAGTGAATTCCACTCGTTGATGATTCGATGGGAAAGTCGATAGTCAGCTGACAAGTAATTTGTTCTCGGCTTATGAACTTTTTTGGAGTGTCCTCGTAAATTCTGTTTTGGAAGGCAAGAAAAATGAGGGCATATTAGGTGCAAATTTATCACTAACCAATTTGTAGACTGTAATCAAGTCGCCTCTAGTTCTGCGATATGACAACGGGAAAGGTTCAGCTTGGCCAGTCGAGATTCATACGGAAGCTTCGCTATTCCGAGAATCAGCTTAGTCGCCGTTCTCTGAACCTTTTCCAGAAGCTCACTGTCTTTTTTTAAGCATGGGCTAGCTGCTTGTATGCAGTACTCAAGTTTAGGACGAACGAACACTATATACAAAGTCAAAAACGTCTTAGCGTCGACATGACTAAAAGCTCTACGTATTGACCATAAGGTTCTAAAACCTTTGGCGGCTTTTGCACGGCAGTGTGCAGTAGTCTTTAAGTCTTGACTAACGATGACTCCTAAGTCATTATATGTCTGGACGACAGGTAGCTCAGTGTTATTCATCGTGTATGTATCTGTGCCTTGATGACCGATATGCATCACAACACACTTGGAAGTATTTATCGGCAACTGCCATGTTTGAGACCATTCAGATAACTTCTTCAGGTCATTTTGAAGTTCTAAGCTATCACTCTTACATCGTATCGTTCTCCATATCTTGACATCGTCAGCATATAGCAAGACCGATGATGGTAGGAGACGATGGAATTTTATTTTGATAATGTAATTAGAAGACGAAGATTATTAGAACTATGTGATAATATATTAGCGCAATACATTTCAAACAATCTGATCATACATTACATACTTGTTAAGAACATTTATATATATGCAGAAACAAATAGAATCAAGTAGTGACCCAATAAAAGAGTAGATGATAAACATCCATCATCCTAAACATATAATTGAAACAAGCCATAAAATATTGATCTTAACTCGGCTTTTGTAATGTTGTACAAGTGTCAAAGGGTGTATACTAAGGTTTATTGAAGCTTTATATATACGAAATTTTGAGTCCCCTTTGTGTATTCAAAAACAATTTGTTCCCACCTTAAACCTACCCTGGTAATATCGACTTATTATCCAAAATGATTAGGTTTTAGAGTAATTAGTCCCTTTTATAAATTTCGATAGAACAATGAAAAGACGGAGTTGGTCTGATGAAAATGTGATGTATTTGTGCTATACATTTTCAACAATCTGGTCACACACATATACTTGTTAAGGCATTTTTTTTATATGAAAATTAATAAAGGTCAATGAAATAAAAGTTCAAGTAAAATAACAAAGGGGGAGAAAGAATAAGAAATTGTCGCGTTATCCTAGACCATAGAATGACTTAAGGATTACCAAGGTAAATTCAAGGTTACGACAAATTGTTTTTGTACACATATAAGAGGGGGGGTTAAATTTACGAATAGCCAAGGCTTCAATAAACTTAAGAATTCGGTCTTGACAATTTCTATACAACATTCTAAAAGCTGTATTAATGTCAATTTTGTGCCCCGTTTCAATGATATGTTTCGCTATCGATGAACCTGGTTTCATAACTCTCACATTGATCGGATCATTTGAAACACATTGATTTTGAAGCCATCTAGGCTTTTAAATTGTGTTCACATTATTATTATTATTATTACCCTTATCATTATCCTTATCTCCTCTTATCCCATTTCCAGTCTAGTTGACCTTTTATTTTTATATATAAATGTTCTTATATTATATATCATCACATTTATCAAAAGGGCTAATCACTTTAGAATTTTAAGTACATTTTCATTTACACACCTCTATGGTTGTTTAGTAGATAAAATATTAAAGATTCCCATTGTGAAAATTAGAACAAAACATGTAAGCGATGATGTAGAGGTGATTCAAATAGCCTTTTACTGAAACAACGACTTAAATCAGTCATCAATAAAACCTATTGCGCAGCAAAGGTCATCATCAAAGAAAGAACAAGGTGCATGCTTCATTCAAAACCTAAAGTACATGGAAACGACTGCGTCACATCCCACTGTGTTTACCAATTTAAATGTGTGTGTGGTCACACATACATTGGGAGGAGTAATCGTGATCTCAACATTAGGGTGAGTGAATATGTACCCAAATGGCTTCAGAAATAAATACAATCAAGTGACCCAATAAGAGCAGGGGATAAACATCCATCATCCTCTATTGCTAAACATATAATTGAAACAGGTCACAAGATTGATCTAAATTCAGCTTTTGTAGTGCTGTATAAAAGTGTGAAAGGGCGTATACTAAGGTTCATTGAAGCCTTAGCCATACGAAAATTCAAACCCCCTTTATGTGTTCAAAAACAGTTTGTTCTTACCTTAAACCTACCCTGGTAATATTGACTTATTATCCAGAGTGATTAGGTTTCAAATTGTGTTCACATTATTATTATTACTCTTATCATTATCCTTATCTCCTCTTACCCCGTTTCCAGTCTAGTTGACCTTTTATTTTTATATATAAATGCTCTTAACAAGTATATGTGTGACCAGATTGTTCGAAATGTATTGCGCTAATATATCACATAGTTCTGATAATCTTCGTCTTCTAATATCATTATCAGGCTTTACTCTAATATACAAAAAATGTTAAACCAATCAAGGCAATTTGAGTTAATCATCACAATGAAATATATTACATCATCAACTTGTACTTTTACCTATTATTATGTGCGATAACATAATCTATTTCTAGTATAGGGGTTGTGGAGATTATTAAGTTATTGATTGAGATCATGAACCGATTGATGTTGACACTATCACCATTGGATGCCGGAAATCTTCTCTAGTACTTGGATTATTCCGTATGCTTGAAGCAGCTGAAGGTCAAATACTCATTGATGGTTATGATATATCAAAAATTGGCTTACATGATTTGAGAAATCGTTTAACATTAATACCTCATCCAGGTTTTCAGTTGTGGTGATCTAACATCAATCGGTTCATGATCTCATAATCTATTTCATTGACTTGATTGGTTTAACATTTTCGTATAAATATTCATTTATATTAGGGTAAAGCCTAGTGACAATCTGATTGAAAACAATATTGAAATCATGAGTCAATTAAAGCTAGACCACCATGAAAAACCTGGAATGTATTCTTGGACATCAATTCACTCAACAAATCTTCAAATCAAAACACGGTTGAACAGCAATGAAATGATATTCCAAATAACAAGGGTAGATGGAAATAAGAAGCACAATTGTCTTTAAGAGATACTCCTGGGGTTCTAGTGAGAAGCCATTACCAGGTGCGTCAAACAGGCAATTATGTATGGAACGAGATGCTTTAAGGGCTACTTCGTGGGTTGGGTTAAGTTAGACACTAACACTGTTGGATGCCGGTTCATTGGACTAGAAGTTAAGCACTCGCGCCTGAGAGACTGTTATAGGCTTGAGCATTGGGTAGATTGTTATAAATAGAGATAATATGTTTGTTGATATCCCAATGAATAGAGAAATCCAGTGCTTCTAGGTTTTCCATGGACGTTTCGTAACTTAGTGTAAGTCACTTCTTCAGAGAATAAGAAGTGACAATAATAAATCTTCTAATATATTAATATTTTCTTTTTGATAAATGAGTTTGTCATTACCAATCATTGTTTACTTCAATTATATTGTAAAATGAAATAATGTTAGTGTTAGTTAATAGGCTATAAACGGACAATGAAATGGTCGAATTTCGGTTCTTTATTTTGCTGAAAATTAATAACTAGTAAATATTTATAGATCATCAACGTAGATGATCTATGTCGAATGATTAGAGACCTACTCGAGTTAGACGGAAATAGTGTGATCAACAGCTAATTTCAAAGTCACATCTTGCGATCAGCGTCTAATATGGATTACCTCTTCGACGTATCAAAGTACTATGGTTGCTTTGAAGACCGTGCAACATAAAGGATTAACCGTTCATCATCATCTAAATATCTTATTAAGAATAAGAACCAAACGAAAGTGCGACCAATATCTCATGGACTACTGATTCGTTTCCACTGTGTACTATCGCGTTTTTTTCTATCACAATCTTTCTTTTATGTATTACCACCACTGTCGCCTCCGTGGTGCAACCGGTTAGCGCGTTCGGCTGTTAACCGAAAGGTTGGTGGTTCTATGATATGATTACTTCATCTCGTTCATAAAAACAATTGATAAAAGTCATTAATGATTTTAAGTGGGGTACTATCTTACTAACGATCTGTTATTTTCTATTGTTCGTATAGTCTCTGCCATGGAAGTTCTACAATCTGATTTAACACGGCAGGGGTGTTGTTTACGAAATTGAGAGGACGAAAAGCGAATGTCCGGCACTTTAACTGCGTGGGTGGATACAGAGGATCTACATTGAGGAGTTTAAAATCCCTGACTCACATTGTTACTAGATTCCAATGCCTATAACTTCATACTTTAACATAATTCTATTATTGGTTACCGGCTACCATGGGAATGCATCTCTTTACGTTGCTCCACTGCCTTGTGGATCAGACCTTCAGGTCGAAGGCTCCGAGTGTGGCCCCCTAAGAAAACCACCTGCTTCGGTTTGGGCACCCAGGCAGTATCACAGCCCTCACACATATCGAATGAGATATGCATGATGGTTGTTGTAGTTCTCCAAGTTTCAGCTCCGTACAGTAGAACTGTCTTGACATTCGTATTGAAGATTCTCACTTTGAAATTGGTTGAAAGTTGTTTCGAGTTCCATATGTTCTTCAATTGTAGGAATGCGGTCCTTGTTTTGCCAAACCTTGCGTTTACGTCTACATGGGCACATTACAAATATATTAAAATTACTGAACTAACCATGATTCTTTACATTCTTATTTTTATAAAAAATGTTTATTAAATTGCAAGGACGAAAAGCGAATGTCTGACACTTTAAACAGGTTGTCGGATACAGAGGGTCCACCTAGGGGAATTGGAACACTGATTCCAAACTAATGGTGTACATGAGTTACAGGATCCTAAAGAAACAGAAGACGTATGAACCTATGGTTGGTGACCGGCTACCATTGGACTGCATCTCCTTACGTTGCTTCACTGCCTTGTGGATTAGACATTTAGGTCGAAGTCTTCGGGTGTGACCCCCTAAAAAATACATGTGCTTCAGTTTGGGCACCCGAGCAGTATAATAGCCCACATACTCAGATTAAGTGACTTTTGTGGCGCATATGTATTTGGTGCTTTCTTGTACCAATATTTATATGCTTAAATAAATACAATTCACGATATTAATTCATCTTTTTATGATCATTTAAATTGTTTGGATGTAATGATTGTAAGACTATGAGACCGATGCATATACGTGCCTGGTCCTACGTTGCAGCTGACTGATTGATATTATAATTTATGTATCTTAGCAATCTAACTCACAGATTGTAAAACAAAAAGCACTAAACACATTTTGTCGTCGTTCTCGACTTATCAACATAATACATTCAATTTTTTTCAAGGTTGAGTGGAAACTATACATGCATCCATGTATTGTTGTTCATATTGAGATCTTAACTCATTCATTATCGCTTCAAACTCCAACGTACTATCCACTAGGCTACTGAGTTGGCCATGATTACACTACCGTGTCGTCTAAACCAACCCGAATTTAGTTTTTTTTTATGTGCATCAAGAAGACAGTTCGGTTCATTAATTGCGTATGGGATGCGATACTCCAACTCATAACGAAAAAGAATTATCTAAGCCGTTCATTCAGAATGCATATATTTTCCACTAGAGAATATCGAACTGTCTTATCAATTACATGATCTAATTGTAAATGGAAGTAATTGATGAGTTTTAATAAATCATGTTACAGAACGAATTAATTGATGAATTAGACATCATTAGACTTTAACGCCGGACATTCGCTTTTCGTCCTCTCATTTTCGTAAACAACAGTAATGCCACGAGAAGGCAGTGAGTAGGACTTCCCTGGCAGAGGCTGTATACGCGCGGCCGTGTGAGAGTATTTCGAGAGGGATGTACCTAATCTAGTTTCAATAACAGGTGGAATAATAACTCAGAATGCTATTAGTCTTGATGTGTTCTACTTTAAAGTTGTGGTACAATTAAATCCGTATCTTTGAAACTCGCAACCTGAGTAGTTGATTCTTAAGGACACAATAAAGACTTTTATAAATACTCTCTATTTCCCCTCTATATCATCGTTATTTAAAGTGGGAATAAACATATGACTTTCGTCTTTTCGTTAGTTGAGGGCATAGTCCATGGTCAGTTGAAGAGTATTTTATACTTTATTCATTCATTGAGTTAATTTGTTTTTTCATTATTAGGGTAATATTAAAATCATTTATAAAAGATGCTAATAATAATAACAATGATGCTAATTATGGTTTGGATATGAACATCTCAGAAGGTGGTTCCAATATAAGGTTAGTTAGTGTGTTCGGTTTTTTTGTTAAACGTTTGTTCAACCAATAAATATTCGTATAAAGAGGCACCGATTACATATGTGCCACACAAGTCAAATGATTTGTGTGAGGACTGGGGTTACATCATCGGGAGACTTTAGTTTAGCAACAACTGATACCCTTATACATGAGCTTAGTCCTCAATGGAGTTCTGTATGGGAACTGTTGAGGAGTCTCATATTATATAGGTACTTAGTGCTTCCTAATTTCCACTGTTTGTGCAATCGAAGTTAATTCATGATATTAAACTAAAACTTTAACTATCTTCTCAATCATGTTCTCATTAGTGACTTATTTTGAGAGGCGATTTTTGGAGTCCTAGTGAGAAACAGTCACTAATGGTATTGAGAGATAGTTGCGCAGTATCGCTAATCGGTTGAAATGAGGCATAAAACATTGGTTGCCGACTTGATAGTCTAACGACTGGAGACTATGTACTGGACTTGAGGACTCTTGGTTCGATTTTCAACGGATACTACTAAAGAGTCCCGTACTGAGATTAAACGAGTGTCCAATACCTCCTGCTTTTCATTGGTTGTTTATCTAAGGTTAGCTCATGATATCTAGGATTACTTCGTGAGATCTTTCTTCCAGTTCTGATAAATTAGATAGATAAGTTTTTTTGCAAGGGGGGGGGGTAATGAAAACATACTATCATTTTGTTACATTTTAAAAAACTTTTACACATCCATTATTTTAATGAATGATGATTGTGCTATATCAACTCTCAAATCTAAAGATATCATAGTCCTTACAACACCAAAAGTCTTAGGTGTAGAGCCCTTGGAAGTCTTAAATAAAAATAGTACGATGATCCAATATTTTATATTAGTTGTTTTGAATTGAAAAAAAAAACTTCTTAAGAATCATTTTCGAACTTTTTACATCAAAAGTTTGTCCTACGATTGACAGAGAAACACAAGTTTATCAAAGGACAATAATGTCAAAGCTTCTGCAATGAATATTCTTTTGAAGGTACTTGAAACCCGTCTATGTAAGATGTTAATAGTTGTACTTATGTGTATGCAAAGTTTATAACATACCATTGTAAACTGCTTAATTGTGATCAATGGGGTTATGAAAATTAATGACCGAAAAACTCACTAGACTGATTGGATAGATCGTTCTGATTACCCCCCCTTTTTTTCTCGCCCGCCAATTGTGTAATTCTAATAATCTGTTTGTTTTACAATATATCAGTAATAATTTTGCTTAGAAATATGCATATTTATTTTCCAGTCTTGGTCAACGACAATTAGTATGTCTTGCAAGAGCTTTACTTCGGCATACTTCAATTCTTGTATTGAGAGTGAGACAATAAAAACCTTCATGAATAAATTACACTCAAGTTAAGACAATTCAAATTCTTTGAAAATCATATACCATTGAAATCATCGATTAAATACAGTTTTAGATTATGATCGGTATGTATTGAGGAATATACCAGTAATTATCGTGTTAAGTCTAATGGTGTCCTTGGACGTTAAATGGACATTTCCATTGGTCGATATTCATTTCACCTGTCAAATATTGTGCAAATGTTGTTTTCTATTTTATGGTACGATGTGGTCTGGTTGGTTGGTATATAAATGGAGTATGTCTGAAATATAATGCAACTCATCTACCAAGTATAGTTTTGATATGGTTGATTTTGGGTCACACTATTTTTATCGCTGTCCAAAAATAAACAATCAGTCAATACAAATCGATCATTGTGTATTATTCAGTCATTAACGTTGATCGAATTCTACCGTTAGAATATAAGTTTTATTTAAATAATTATTTACTCGTAATTTGCAAGATTTGATCCTGTTTCATTCAGCTTCACAGTATGGGCCACTACTGACCTCTTGTAGGACTTTAGGCATCAACTATAGAAAAACGTTTCGGATTTTCGAAAAGAATCAAACTAAATTCTTTGACAATGATTGAACGAGGTTTAAACGTATAAACTGTTCTAGTTGACTACTTTTAGGGAAGAAACTCACACATCTATCATAGAGGTTCGAATCTGCGGGTTGCATTGTATAAGCTTTACTTCAATTCTTTTTTCATTTTGTAAAATTAAAACGCAAACGAAACTACAGTCCGTTATAACAAAATTTCAGTTGGATGCATAAAATAACGAATAGAAATTAGTGTATGATAGTGAAATATAGTAATAATGGGCAAAATAGTTCAGTTAGCAAAGGTACAATCAGAAAGAATTCTTCCAGTTAAAGAAGTTACATCCATAAATTATTCTAGTTGACTACTTTTAGGGAAGAAACCTACACAACTAAAATCGATAGATCCTGGGTTCGAATCTGACGGGTGTGATCGTGGATACGCACTGTTGAGGAGTAGGACAAAACGGCCCCCTAGTGTTTCCAGGTTTTCTATGATTGTTTAGTTTTAATTGAATCATGAATTCAACTGTTTCTCAGTCATGTTTATAAGTCATAAAATCTTTCTTTAAATTTTTCTAAGATTATGTTTGTTTATAGTAATTGTTCTATCTTTCTTTTCTTTTCTCCTTTTTTTTTTCAAATTCAACCTCCATTTCAGCATTCTTGTCCTTGAAGATGGTCAAATGAAAGAACTAGATAGTCCAAAAATGTTATTACAAAATAAAAATTCAGCATTTTATTCTTTAGCTAAAGATGCACATCTTGTCGAGTGAATTATATAAAGTTATATATGAAAAATACGTGTTTATAAGAGGATAGAAAAGATGGTATCATAAAATAGATTCAAGACTAAATATACATTCCTATTCATAGTGTAAAGACACCCGTTTGAAAATAATTTACAGATGATGATGATGATGATGGTGGTGTCGTTGTTAACAAAGAACTTAAACAATCATTTTCAAATTGATGACTGTTTCTCTACTTTTGTTTTCTAAAAAAAAAGAAGAAATTCTAAAGAGAAAACACTAGGCGCCATAAACATTGTTTATGTTTAAAGTTTATTTAAAGAGTGAATAAGAATGAATTTATTTGTTTGTTTGTTTGTTTGTTTAGTTGGCTGGTTGATTGGTTGCTTGCTTGCTTGCTTGGTTACTCCATAACACTGCCTTCCTCTTTTATGTTTCACATTTTCGATGTTCAATTATAGATTACTTTGAAAGAAGAGTCCTTTGGAACGATAGTTCCACAGTCAATTAAATATTTTTTTAAGAGAAAAAAAAGTAAACGAAAAAATCTTCCCTCCCCCCCTCTTTGTTTTGAAAAATAAAAAAAAATTTTTTTGCAAAAAATCTTTTAACCCATTTTTAATTAGAAATTATTATTATTTGAAATTATAGATTTTATTGTATACTATCCCCCCTCTTGTTTTTTGTTCCTTCTGTTTTACATACAAAAAACAACATGCATAGTTACAAGCAAACAGTAAGTCAATGTTTATTGTTGTTGTTAGATTTTGTTTCTTTTTTTTGAAGTCCCCTTTTTTTTTAATCCCCATTTTGTACATTTAATTGTCTTAAGTTTGTGTGTGTGTGTGTGTGTGTGCGACAATAATGATAATTATTATTATTCAATGTATCAAAGATATTCTGTTTTGTATATAACACATCGAAATAAATGTTTCTCCATTGTGGATTTTCTTTTTTACTTCTGGTATTTTCATATTTAATAGTTGAATTCATGAGTTAATTGAAGCTAGACATACATGGAAAACTGGGAAGCACTAGATGGCTGTTTCGTCTTGTTTATGGGACTCATTCACAGTGCGCATCCATGATCCCGCCTCGAGAGATTCGAACCTAGTACATATCCGTCTCGCGTGTAAGCGTTTAAATGTTTAACATCAATCAATCCACGAAATTGAGTGACACATCCACCATTGTCTTCAGTGAGTTACTATCTCACAACATACTTGGTTGAACTCCTTTGTTTACTGTTTCTCACTAAAACTTCAGGAAGTATCTATTGAAGCCAATCACTAATGAGCATATGTTGATTAATATCAGAAGGGGTTTTGTGGATATAATCGTACTGTTAATAGTTGAGATCATGAGTAAATTAAAACTGAACCACTATCGAATACCTGGAAGCACTGAACGGCCGTTTCATCTTATTGTGGGACTCCACAGTAGTGAACATCTACGATGCCACCTCGAGAGATTACAACCCAACACCTTTCAGTCTCGCACACGAACGCTTAAGCTGTAAACCACTGAGTTGACATCCAACAGTGTTAACGTTAAACTTCAACCAATCATGTTTATTTAAAATTTCTGAAAGTGTCAAAAAATTTTGATTGCATTGATAATTGTCATTAGTTTTAATTACTATTGTAGAGCAATATTACTACTACTAATAATAATAGAACTAATCTTCTTATCTGAAATGAATAACAGCATTTCAGCGTTGTTGTATATAAAGAAGGAATGATTTGAGTGAAGAAATTTTTTCTCAATTGGTTCTTTATCATGGTTCTACACTAATATATCTAAGTATTTGATTGAGATCATGAACCGATTGATGTTAGACCACCACAATTGAAAACATGGAAGCACTGGTCGGCCGTTTCGTCCTATTGTGGGACTCCTCAGCAGTGCGCATCCATGATCCCGCTCTCGGGATTCGAACCCAGGGCCTTCGGTTTCAATCAAAAACTTAGTAATCTCCACAACCCCTATACTAGTATATCTAAGTATGATTTACAATGATGACATGATACTCATCGAATGGATATAATACGTAATAATTACATAATGATAATTCGATTATAAATTAACATAGAGTAATTGGAAGTAAGAGGATTAATCATAATCAAAGTAATTATTCGATAATCAAGAAGTTGCCTCGTTACATAATATATAAAAAAGAAAAAGGAACAGAATATCCTAATGGATGGTCAATAGAATGATAGTTATGTAAGAATCAAGAGATCAATGTTGAGTTTGCAAAGTTCAAAAAAATAACTAAATGGAAGAAGTAAAAGAAATGGTTTTGCTGCCAGCATTCTTATACCGATGGCCAAGGTAGAGAAAGTGGTTGTAGAAGTTTCTTTTGAATGCAAAGATTAGTTTTGTGAACATGGATTGCGATGGTTTCCGCAATGTGCAAAAGGCGCATTCGTAAACGATGTGGTAAATTTGATGGAATATGGTAGATAACTTTAAAAGCTTTATTCAGTTCAACTTGATGACCTGTAGTGTCGGTTATTATGCCAAGCCCATATACCTTATTCTAGCTTTCGGACATCCCATTTTATTCATTCTACTTGAGCCATACTTTGACCTTGTTATTTATTCGCTTATCAATCTAGACTGTTTTTATATGAGCGTATATGTGTGTGCCCTTCTTATCCCATTAACCACATGTCTTAGGCTTATTTTTGTCTGACTATAAATATTGAGTAACGCTTGACTAAAATGGAGTTGGCTTCCCAGCCATTTTCCCTGCGTGTCATTTTGCTTGGCTCTGTTTCATTCGCCTCATATGCAAAATATATGTATTCACAAATCAATTCTCGTTATTCGACTTATTTAATTCCCTTATTGGCTAACGCGATTAAGTCGACGATTATATACGAGAATAGGCGATAGCAAACATACGATCTAATTAGAGTCAGATCCACGGGTGTAATATGTAAACTGTAAAATGGTTAACATAGCCTCTTAATCACTCTTACCTGTTCTTTGCTTAACCACGACGGATGGTACTCTGTTATACGATGACGAACTTGCCGAATTGTACACTATATATAACTGGCTTCAAATACTTCTTTGAATATTTCAATGTATTCAGTTCTATCTAATCATTCACTATTTTTGAGGTAGATGATTCCTGTAGATTAGCTCAGTTTTAATGATTGTTTTTGTGACAAACAATCCCTAGCGAGGTCAACTAATATGCGTTGTTGAGAAGTTCAGAACTATTGAACCATCAATATTCTTATTGAATTAAACAGTCAGACTATAATTTATGGAAAAAATATTCAAACTCCATAGTGTAACTTTATTCATCTAAATCAATTGATTGTAACTATCTACGATTCGATTTACTTATTTACTTTCGCATGTTACTCCCAATGGAGCGTAGGGAGCTTCAGAGGTTCTAAAATCGTAATACATATGGTAGAGGCATTCCTTTCTAGCTCTATCCAAATTTTGTTCACTTTTCTCATGTTTGTCTACATTTCTCGGTGTGATGTGTTATTTAGCCTTCAATATTGTTTGTGTGCATTCCGATTGTTGAGTGCACAAAATGCTACATGTGGATAACGACATGATGCACATAACCAAGCCTATGTAGGAGTCTGTACGCTCTCCAAACATCCGTATATATGTTGCTGATAGTGTCTGGCAAACGGATCCGAAGTATGTTGCGTAGACATCTGTTGATGGCTTTTGTAGTTCTTCAAGTTACCGTTCATATATGGGGTTTTCATCACGAACTGATATCAGCTATAATGCCAGAAATTTATTTAGCCAAATGGATGAAAGGCTTTCACGTTAAAATCCGAGATCTATTATCTTATACCGATCCACGCCTTCACATCTGCATCAAATCCACCGTGTTCATGAATGATGCTACTCAATTATCAAGTTTTGTACAAAATTCCCTGTGAACCGATCGTACGTTAGCCTTAAGCACTGAAGTTGGCGCCGTAACCTTGAAATCTCTAAAAAACGCCTCTGATTGGCTCGTCCATAAATTACAGTCTTGCCATTTACTCTTCTATTACGAATTCTATTTCTAGTCTTAACTCATTTTTAACTTTAACACTTTTTTCTTTCGTCTAACATAAATTAATAATTTAAATGTCTATTTACTGGAATTTGTGCTCTATTAATATATAATGTAATAATACCGCCAATTAAAGAACAGTGAATTATCGACCGGACCGATAACGCATAAAACAAGTACGAGTAGTCTAGAGTCGTTGTCGGTCTTTCTTCCTGCCTAACCCTAACTGTCTGTTAAGTCCAGAACACTAATCTCAGCCTCTGCGATATGAATCATTTAGTTCAAAGATACGGGGTTTATATACCAATCAAGCAGACCACATCGTACCATAAAATAAGATACAACATTTGTACAAGATTTAGCCAAATGTGGCTGTGAATGAAGGAGATAGTAGTTGATAGACAGGGCATAACATGAGAATGCTAAATCGAATATAGTAGTCTATGGGTCAAAATAAAGTTTATAATAAAAGGAACATGGATATGTATCGTATTAGTTCATCGGAATATAACACCATTAAACATGTTGAAACTGTCCATTCATTGTAATTTAATTATAAATTATTATTATCTGATAAGTAACTCAAAATCGTTTGTATAGTTTATTGTTACGATTGTCATTATTTTCAATCCACTTAATCTTTTTGTTTACTTACTACACCTCATGTAGCAGTTTAAATTTGATCATTCTTTGTGAGACTCTTCAGCAGTGCGCATCTACGATCTCGCTCGTGAGATTCATTAGTGCGCATTAGTCATTGGCTTCATGAGATATTTCTTGGAATTCTAGTGAGAAGTAGTGAACAATGGGATTCAACTGGGTTTATTGTAAGATAGTAACCGACTAAAACCAATGGTGGAAGTGTTGCTCAACTTCATGGATTGGTTAAAGTTTAACGTTAACACCATTGGATGCCGGCTCAGTGGTCTAGAGATGAAGCATCCGAGCACGAGACTGATAGATCCTGGGCTGAATTTTT